AATTTTTCAATAATTTTTGCACCAATGAATACACCAACTTAAGGACATCCTTAATTTATAATTAAGGATATTTTATTTGGTTCATGATTTCGAGAAGAGATCCACGTAAATGTCCAGGAAGCGACCTCACCTCATAACTATTCAAAAATTATAATTATGTATTGAGAGAATTTGTAAAGCTATGATATATATTCTTGGACTCTATAGGCTTTAATGTCCAAAAATAGGGGGACAACTAATATATCATAAAAAATTTATCTTGATCGGGCATGAATCTCTTGGAAAAATTTAATTGGAAACTTTTGAAATTAAATTTGGAACCATCTCAACTCCAATATTAACTAACTTATAGCCAAATAGAATGTCTCAAAAAGACAAACCCAACAACACCAAATTTAACTTAATCTAGGCCTAAATGGGTCCAAATCAAAGATCCAAAGCTTCTTTTGAAGGTTCAAACCATATTGTGGACTACCAAATGATTTCAAAATGCAACAGGCTTATAGTAAAATCAAGTGGCTCGACCTGATAATCCAATGAGCCAAACATCGACAAATTTTTCCATCACTAAGACATTAAAAAGCCCAATAAATGGTGTACAGTAAAGGGAATCAATACTGAACATCTATTTAAACCACTCCCAACATAACATTAATCTCCATAATTTTTACTTGTCAAATCACTCTAAAAAAACTATAAATATACCCCTCATTCCTCATGGGATTGAGAAGGGAAGAAAGAAAGAAAGAGAAGAGAGATAAGTTAGAATTTTCTTGCCACCAGACTCCACCTCGACCACTGTTGAACCCACGACCAATGTCAAACAATCAACGGACATCTGCCCAGCTTTTGATTCAACCTCCGTCACCAGACAATTCCCTTTTTTGACCATTATCGTGAAATGACTATGATCTTTTTGACCTCCATCACCTGTCAACTACAGTCCTTCTAACCTCCGTTGCTAGACAGTGATTTTTTTGACCACTCTCACTCGCCAACTACGGTCCTTCTGACCATTATCGCCAGAGAACGATCTTTATGATCATTATTGCCCACAGACTACAGTCCTTCCTACCTTCGTACTTGAAAATAGTCTTATGGCCACTATCACTCATAGACTATAGTCTTTATGATCTCTGTCATCATACAATAGTCTTTCTGACAATTGTCACCCGCTAACTATGAGCCTTTCAACCTCTACCACCAAAAAATGATCTTTCTGACCACTATAACCCACCGACTACGGTCCTTTCGACCTCCGTCACCATATAACGATCTTTTTAATCATTTTCGGCCACTAACTATAGACTTTTTGACCTTTGTTGCCTGCTGACTACTATCCTTTCAACCTCCTTTTCCAGACAACGATCTTTTCGACCTCTCCCGCTGACTACAATCCTTTGAACCTCGTCACCCACTGACTACTATTCTTTGAACCTCTGTCGCCTGCTAACTACAGTCATTCCGACCTCCATCGCTAGCGAATTGTCTTTCGGACCTTTGTTGTCCATTGACTAGTATCCTTCTAACCTCCATCACTAGACAACAACCTTTTCGACCTCCATTGTCCTCCGACTACTGTCCTTCCGACCTTTGTCACTAGATAACAATCTATTCGACTTTTGTCATCCACAGACTATGGTTCTTCTAACCTCCATCACAAGCTGACTATAGTTCTTTCGACCTCTATTGCCCGTTGACTATGGTCCATTCGGCCTTCGTTGCAAAACAAAGTTCTTTCTGACCTCCGTTGACCGTTGACAATGATTTTTCCAACCTCCATCACTTTGTCGACTATTTTTCTACCAACTAAACAAATATGTCAATATTGATTCATCCAAATTTCAGCATGTAATACGCTCTTTATGATGCATATTTGATGCATAAAGCCAAGGCTTTCCCCTAAAGGAAGAGTCTCATTTATAATCAATTGCAAACACTAGTGGATTCATTCAAATTGGGCAAGACCCCATGTTATATATAAATTATATTACAAATTACATTTCTTTATAATCTTGCCTCTAATGCTTTCGAAATTTTATACTTGAATTAAAATATGACGGTTGATATAAATTTTTTTATTATTAAATTTTTTTAATATAAGTGTAAATGTAATTTTCTAACAGTTCCTAGCTTTTATAAGTTAACATAAACTTAAATGAAATATTTTAAAAAAGACAATTTATAAATTTTTTAATATTCATTAAATATAAATTAATTTATTTTTACTTATTAGAAAACATTAAATTTTGTTGGTCAGGTTAAAACTATAATAGTATTAAATTAGAAAGTTTATAAGAATTTAAATATAAGCCATTTTCTAAGTAATCCTTTAAAAATATAATTTAAATTTATGTAAAAAAAGTAATATAGGGAGTTCCAAATCATACATGATTGGTTGGATGAAAAATAAATTTAAAGCAATTAATAAGTAAATATTTAATGTATTTGAAATTCGCCAACATTTAAATTTTTTCTTTTTTGAAGTATTATATTGCCTCACCATCCCCACTGAGAGCTACCACTACTATGTTGTTGGTCGGGTCTTGCAGTTAGTGTATGCTGCAAATACCGCAGACTACTATCACTTGTGGCCACTAGCTAGCCTCAGGCCACCCGCATCAGAAAAACCATCTAGTACAATTGCCACCAACTGCCATTACCTACCACTTGCCATCTTATCACTCATCAAATGATCAAATTTCTAAAATGCATATATTTAAAATACATTATAAAAAATAAAAAATTTCATTATATTTAATTTGCGTCCAACAAAATAATTTACACATTTCTAAAATGCACATATTCTACTACATTATATTTAAAATTTCATTGAATTTCAAATTCATTAAAAAAAATGTCCATATTTCCACCAATTTAGATATAGTTGTGCATTACCAATGATCAAAACTATCGTTCATTGCCCAAGATCAAAGTAAACAAATAGCAAAGAAAAATAAAAGGGAAGAACAACTGAAAGACACTTCTGAACTTTTTAGAGCAATGAAGAAACGAAAAGAGTAAATGTAAGGAGGATTATATAATACTCAAGCAAAAGCTCGATGAACCAACTATAAAGGCCAATACACACCTCTGAAACTGTAGTGCTAGAATAACAAATCCAACAGTTGTAGGCTTCATGAATACCATACACGCCAATTAATGCAAAATTTTGAATTACAACATAAATTAAAACTAAAATATGAGTACATTTAAAATTATCATAACATCAGAGGACAAAAAAAAAAAAGACCACTTCCTAGAATCATTATTCATGTTATTTATGGTTGGCTTTGTTACAAAACATGACGTCGAGTAATAGAACGACTGCCATTGACCCCCCAAGTCCCACACCAAATAATATTCCTAATATAATCATGTAATTTCTGTTACTTGGTGATGTGTCACCCAAACTTGGAGGTGATGTGGTTGTATTACTTGCTGCTAGGACTGACGTGTTGCAACAAAAGCATTGAAGTCCCTCATTTCCTTCAAATGAAGTGTTCGTGAAAGAACATAATTGACCTCCTTGAGGAACTATTCCAACCAACTTGTTGTAGGAGAGGTTTAAATATGACAAAAAATGTAAAGAAACAAAATTCTGAGGAATTTTACCAGAAAGGTAATTCCTTGAAACATCTAATGACTCGAGATATACCAAATTTCCTAATTCTGAAGGAATTTCACCCGTCAAATTGTTTTGTGACAAGTTTAGTACTTGGAGAGAGACAAGTTGCCCAATAATTGAAGGGATCTCTCCTTCAAAATGATTGTTGGAAAAATCTATTAAAATTGCATAATAACTTTCTAGAGTATATAGTTGCCCCTTAATCATGGTGGTGACCATATATTGATGACCAACTGGGCGTAAAATAATTTTTTTTATCATCATTGTCCTAAAACTGCTGAAGCACTTTGCAGTTAAATTTCCACTAAAGTTATTTGAAGAGATGTCAAATACATACATCATAGGAAAAGCATAACTTGTTTTATAGCTTTCATCAAGAGGCCAAATTAACCCATAGAACTTATTAGATCTTAGAATAAGGATGCTTAGATAAGACATATTTCCTAACCAATAAGGAAATGTGTCCTTCATGCTGTTATTCCCCAAGTCCAAAACTTTAAGTGATTGACAATTAGATAGAGACCTGGGAAGCAATCCTTCTAATTGGTTGTCTCTCATATTTATGATTTCCAGGTTACATTTTTGACTAATTCCATGAGGTATGGCACCATGAAGTTGATTTCCTCCAAGATTTAACAAACGGAGATTGATTCCATCTTCTAGCAAACATGGTGGAATAGTACCAGTTAGCTTGTTTTTAGATAAATTAAGCATCACGAGTCTGGTTAAGTTGCATATGAATGGTACGATTTCTCCAGTCAGGTTATTATTTGCAAGAGAAAGCCAAAATAATTGAGATTGTGAAATGGTATTGGAGGGGAACTCAAACCCCACAACTCCATTGAAATTATTATGTGATAAATCCAAGTACATCAGCCCTAATAGATTCCAAATCGAAGCTGGAATTGTACCATATAATTGACAACATGAGAGGTTTAAATATGTTAAAAACTTGAACTTGCCTATTGCATCAGGTAAATTCCCTGAGAAATTGGTATTAGAAGCTAACAAAGAATTCAAATTACTGTTCTCTTGAAAATCAGGAAGATAAATGGAAAGCAATGGATTATATGAGATGTCAAGAACTTTCAAATTTCTTAGTTGAAAGATTTTCGTGGGAAAAAACCCTTTGAATTTGTTACCTTGAAGGAGAAGGTTAGATAAGGATGAAAAATTGGCAAATGAATCAGGGATGTTAGAGTCCAAATTATTATGTCTGAAATCGATATAGGATAAAAAATGGAGCATGGGTAGAGAGGAACAAATGGCACCGAAGAGGGAACATCTATTCATACTCAACAACTCAAGTACAGGGGTGGAATTGACCAGAACACCACACCATTCATCCCGATATGATGAGACATTTACATTGTCAAGAAGAAGTTCCTTTAGACTGCTCATGTTTTGTAAAATCATCGGATTAATAGCTAGAGAATGCTTTAAAGTGCAAGAGAGGTCGAGGAAATTCAATTTTGTCAAGCGAGAGATACTAGTAGGAACCTTTCCAACAAATCCTGCATAAGAAAGATCAAGGCTTGAAAGATTTACAAGCCTATCCCACCCATGGTCCGGAATAGCAATTCCATCAAACTTATTGTAGGCAAGACTGAGAGTGTCTAATGATGTGAGATTGAATAGGCTAGGATCGATTGTACCGATGATGAATCGAAACCTTAGGTTGAGCACAATGATCCTTCCATTTTCATCACATGTCACGCCCTCCCAGATGCAGCAGTCCGTTCCTGGCTGCCATGTCTCTAAATTTCCAGTTATAAAACCTTTCTTTAGCTGCAGAATTGCTGAGTTCTCTTCTTCAAGGCATCGGACAGATGCATCGCTGATGATAAAAAAAAGCTCTAAAAAGAGAAGTACTAGGAGGAAGACAGTGAACTTGAAATGAAACAGCTCCATGAACAAGCTCAAAGCTCTCAAAAAATGAAGCTTTAATCGGAGAAAGCAGAAGCTTTAAGGGTTGATATGAGGTCATTCAGAGAACTCGGTCAAATTTCAATTGGTGATGGTAGATTGAAATCAGCTTTTTTTATTATTGGCGGACTCCACAAAGTGGTGAATTTGGTCGTTTGTGGCCATCTCCAACACCAAACTAGCGTTATTCTATGAGCTCAGCCTTTTTTTACTTGGACAAATTTTAAATATAATTGAGATTATAGATCAAATAAAATAAATCATATTTTTAAAAATCGAATTTTAAACGTTATAGACAGAAAAAAGCAGGAGAGAGAAAGCAAAAATATTTTTAAAAACTAATTTTTATTGTTTACCAATTATTTTATTTTGTTTTTATTAAAACTTTAAGTGTAAATAATTCTTTCTTATTTTTTGTAACAAAAAATTTAATTAAATTTTTTTATGAGTTATTTTGTGTGAAAAAATTTGACAATTTAATTTGTCATAGTTTTTTTAAACGTACATTTTTTCATAATTTTTTCCATAATACATTTTATTGATTTAAATTCATCTTGTTTTAAAGAAAATAAATTTTTAATTAAATATTTATGATAATTCTGAATTAGATTTAAAGAAATATTCTAATAAAAAAATTACTAAATAATATAATTCTGAAGAAGATTTGTAAATATTAGGTAATTTATTATTCAGTAATTTTTTATTATATTTATTTAAATCTAATTCAGAACAATAATATGAT